GTAGTATATTTCGACCCCAGAAACACGATCATGAAGTTTTCTGCGAAAAAAAAATAAAAATTTGGAATTTTTGTGTTTTTTTATTTGTTAGTTAAAAACATTGATAATATACAGGGTGGTCCGAACTGTATTCCGGAAACTTCGGCAGCATATTCTGCAGATAAAAATAAGTAAAAAAGTTCGTACAAATATATGTCCTAAAATGCTTAGTTTCGGAGATACAGAGTGTTGAAGTTTCATTTTTATTTCGATTTTTTCCAAATAATTTCTGAAGTAACGTCAATATTTGGATGACATAAAAGTTTTTTGACATGAGAAATTTGATTTTGATGTCAATATGACTCCTAGTAGTAGAGGGCGCCAACTACATATTTTTAACTGGTTTGAAGAGTAATAACTTTTCGTCCGTACCTGTATAAAACTACTGAATAAAAAAATATACATTTACGATGTTTTTTACGTAAAAAAGGTCTCTTGGTAAAAATCGCTACGAGTAATGGTTCTCGAAATATTTGGAATCGAAATTACCAATTGACATAAATTAAACATGTTGACTAATTAGTTATTAGACTAAAATCATAAATTTGCAATCTTTTTGTGACAAAAGTTCAACAGAAACTGTTTTATGATCATTTTTTCGAAGAAAAATTTATGATTAGTTTAAAAAAATAAAAAGTTCCCAAATTTCTCATTTCAGTCAAATAACTATCTACTCAACATGTTTATTTTTAGTCAATAATGACATGTATTGACTATTTCCATTGTAAATATCTTTGGAACGGTTGCTCGTAGCGATTTTTACTAAGAGACATTTTTTACGTAGAAAATCACGGAAATGTATATTTTTTCACTGAGTATATTTGGAATCGAAATTATCAATACCTGTCATCATTGACATAAATTAAACATGTTGACTAAATAGTTATTAGACTGAAATCATAAATTTGAAATGTTTTTGTGCCAAAAGTTCAACAGAAACTGTTTTACCATCATTTTTTGCAGAAGAATTTATGATTAATTTAAAAAAAAATAAAAATTTCCCAAATTTATTATTTCAGTGAAATAACTATCTAACATAACGTGTTTATTTTTCCTCAATAATGACATGTATTGACTGTTTCCATTCTAAATATCTTAAGAACGGTTGCTCGTAGCGATTTTTACAAAGAGATATTTTTTAAGTAAAAAGTCACAGAGATGTATATTCTTTCGCTCGGTAGTTTTGTACAGGTACGGACAAAAAGTTATTACGCTTCAAAACAGTTGTAGGGGGCGCCCTCTACTAGTAGGATTCATATTGACATCAAAATCAAATTTCTCATGTCAAAAAACTCCCAGACCCCAATTTTCCTCCAAATATTGACGTTATTTCAGAAATTATTTAGAAAAAATCGAAATAAAAATGAAACTTCTACACCCTGTATCTCCGAAACTAAGCATTTTAGGACATACATTTATACGAACATTTTTACTTATTTTTATCTGCAGAATATGCTGCCGAAGTTTCCGTAATACAATTCGGACCACCCTGTATAACATCGGTAGTAGATTAAATTTACAACAGTAGTTCTCAAAATTTAATCAAAAAACATTTTTTTTTGGAAATTTTCAAAGTAAAATAACTCGGTTATTTTGGATTCATTTAAAAAACGGTAAAGAGGAAATATGTTTCTTTTAACGAGATCTACCAGCCCTGAAAATATTTGCACTTATTTAAGACTCACTCTGTATTTACTTATTAGGTACTACCTCGTAATAAAATTTGAAAATAAACGTTAAAAAAGTAATTACAAAGTTTTGTATAGATAAAATTAAAATAAAATGGAGTAGATTAGTTTTTATAGTACGATTAATTGTATATCGGCTTAACGATCACTTACAAGTACTCGTAGGTACTACAAGAAATATTGCGATATAAAAATTAATGCCGGGCATAGTGAAAGGTAAATCAATGATGCAAACTGTTGCATAGTATGCTACTTCCTTAAGACTGTAATGTCTGTAATGTCGACACTTAATATCGCTAAATGTTAATATGTGCTGAAACATTTCCATGCGTGCGATTTTTTTGATATTAATATGCCTATTAAGAGTCCATTTCACTAGTCCGAAAATGTAGCAAAATAAGCGTTCGGCATTTAACGTTTTATCATAGTATAAGCAAACTAGTAGCTTTACTCCTTGTCAAATCCTTTGTTCTTTTTCTGCCACTATATATGACCTTGTTCTCGCGTCCCGTGACCACTGACGTAGCTGTATAGTCGTGGTCTCTAACTAGACAAAGTATAGTCGTGGCACTCGCCATAGATTCACAGAGATGTATTTAGGAAAATATGAGTTCACAATAAAATAAAATAAAAAAAATGAGTTAAATAAAAAAATCATCGAGTAAAAATTTGCTTGAAAACGAAATATTTTCACATTTCGTGTAAGTAACAATTCTTCTGTATCTGATAATCTTCTGATGGGAAGAAATGCGGAAAAAATATATAATGACATATTTTTATATTATTATTTATTTCAAAGATTTTCTACCATTTTTTTAAATTTAAAACAACTTTAATTTTAACATTAATGTGTTTGTTTTATAGTAAGATATTGGTTAGGTGATTTTCATTGGATAACTAATACATTCAACGAAACATTGTACTAAATACTAAAATATCATATTTAAACTTCAATAATTGCTAATAAGCATTACAGAAATTTCAAAAGAGAAAAGAAGCAAGAACAATGAGAAATAGCATGACTACTTTCTCACGTAATAAAAAAATAATTTTTTCATTGTTACCGAGTCCCGAAGGTATCGAAAGGACCGGGAATTAATAATTTCGAGTCCCGGTTTTTTGATATCTCAAAAGAACCGGGAATTTACGGTTCAGAACCCTAGTTACCATATTATCAAGAAATTATGTTTTTTAACTAAAAACTAAAAAAATACTTTCAAAAAAAAATGCGCAGAAAAATCCTCATATTGCAGGGCAAAATAGACTATCCCTAAAAACATTTCCACTTATTTTACCCTGTATAGGGCGATTCACGGTTATGGTACGTTATAGCGTTTCCGGAACCAGAGCTGTTTTTCGGAACCGGTAATTTCGGGACCATGCCTCTAAGGAACCGGGATTTCCAATTTTTTTTCGGTACTTGCAAAGTTTTGTTCAATTATGGTGCAGTTCGTTAAACAGCAAGGAGATGGTTGTCAAAAATAAAATCGATAAAAATTGAGGTTTAAATGAAAATAATATCAAATTATTAAATAGTAATCAGTCATAAGAAAATTAACCTGAACACAAACATGATCACAAATAACTCTCAAAAAAACTCAAAGCACAATTTATTGAATAATTACTACAACCAATAGCAACACACAGTAAGGAACTCATTATTTGTCAATCCGTCTCTGTGCTGGGACGCAACGCTCGAAACTCACAGGTCGACGGACGAAACTCAACTGAAACGCTCTGCAATCTGCCGATATTAAACAGATTGTAAAAACTGGCAGAAAATATTTGGGAGAGTGCAACTACTCTTTTCCTTCTACTATGGTTTTATGTAAAACTGGCTAGGTATTTTTACACAAACGAAGAAGGAAATTAAAGATCAAGGATTTATACTATATCCGTGTTATCCAGCACATTTTTAGACAACTTCTTTATTTTGAAGACTTTGATGGTCAAACATCAACAAAATATTCCTTATGTTTGGACTAAATTTTCTCGAAAATAAAGACATAATTTAAAATTCCGTTATAATACAGAAATAGATTGTAGTTTTCAAATTACAGTGATACATAATTAAATGGTTTTGTAACAACTTGCTCGTTGTTTTATGGTAAATGCTGAAGCTCTGCAAACCTTAATCAAGCCTTAATCAAAGCACGTGTGTTTGGAATTTTGGGTGTGGCTTAACACGACAGGATCGGGCTAAGCCCTTAGGCAGATTTCTGAAATATATATCTCCTTCAGCCACACACCCGCTTTACCCGACCCCTGAGAGCGACCCGTAAGTACAGCGTAATAGACTCTTAAGATACTCCAACAGGTGTGACTAATATCCCGTAGTTCTAGTTTTAGTAGATTTAACAGCGGAAAATGAATGCTAAAACTAAAAGGCACACACACACACACACACCCACAAACGTTTTGTTAATTGACACAATTAAAATGATATTAATACTAGTTTAGTTCAAAGGATTAGCGGTTACTTTTACATCATGTAATGTTTTTAGTCTAAGTATCTAGTTTTAGACATGTCATTAACCTAGAAATTATTTTTGTTTACTATAAATTGATATATTATTGTATTTAAGCTAAATTCTTAGAAAAAAAGTTACATAATTTGGAATATTTCTATGGGATTTTCCTTCTCAAAAAGAGTTTACAATGAAAGAAAATTGTGAAGCAAACAAAGCGTGATTTTTAAATATATTGTTGCCAACCATGGACTTATTTGGCGCCGGGTACTTTCGGGTCGCTTTCAGGAGTCGGGTAAAGCGGGTGTGTGGCCGAAGGAAATATATATTTTATTTCAGAAATCTGCCTAAGGCTTAGCCCGATCCTGTCGTGTCCAAGCCACACCCCAAATTCGGAATACACGTGCTTTGATTAAGGTTTGCAGAGCTTCGGCATTTGCCATAAAATAGCGATCAATTTGTTACAAAACCATATAAATTATATATCACTGTAATCACAAAACTTCAATTTCTTTCCGTATTGTAACAGAATTTTAAATTATGTCTTTATTTTCGAGAAAATGTAGTCCAAACCCAAGGAATATTTTGTTGATGTTTGACCATCAAAAATCTTAAAAATAAAGAAGTTGTCGAAAAATGTGCTACAACACGGATATAGTATCATCCTTTATCTTTAATTTCCTTCTTCATTTGTGTAAAAATACCTAGCCAGTTTTATTATTTTATTAAATGCCGAACGCTTATTTTGCTACTTTTTCGGACTAATGAAATGGACTCTTAATACATCACTATATAGTCTACTTACTTGGCAAATCTAGCCCACGGCCTTAAAGGTTTAGGTCCTTGTTTGAATGCTTCTTCCGCTGTGTCTGCAAATCCTAAACTAGGAATTTTACCTCTTGTGCATACTTTGTGAGAAGCCTTGACCTATAACAACGATTTCAAATTGTAAAACGAAATTCTTGTTTAAACCATATACGGAATATTAACAGCAGATTAATTCCCTGCACATTATATTAAAGTTACTATTTTCTCTTGATTCGAAAATATTGTAAGAATTGAAATTTCAACATATTAATTTATTTAACTTTAAGAATCACGGCCATAGAAAATACACGTCTGGCTGTCATTTACAATCACTAAAGCCCCGCCAGACTCACGAGTCAGGTAGTTAAATGAGTAGTTTCTGAGTTTAGCGTGCCTAACGAGCGTTAGACGAGTCTGGCAAGGCTTTCGGGATGTTGCACATTAGCCAGAGTACCATTTACAGGTGTAATTATAATATAAACTATCGTCAAACAATTTTTTAGGACTGCATAAATAAGGGCAATGGTTTAAATAATTTTTATTCAATTTTTCACCTGCCAGACATTTCATTACAGTATATTTGCAATCCATCGGAAAATCCTCCCCCATACATATGTATACAGGGTGTTCCTTAATGACTTTCTTAATGGCTAATATTTAAGGAGGTGATTCTTAGACTTATCTAAGAGAAAAACTTCATCTATACTACATAAAATCCTTAAGTGACTGACCTACTGATTAATCACGATCCTGCTCAAACCACTCAACGTAAGAAGCTCAATTTTTGCATACAGGTTGATTCTAGGATGTAGAGGTTCGATAAGAAGGGATTTTTCGAAATTCCAGTTCCAAGAGGGTGAAACTACCCCTCAAATATTACAATATTTTTATTTAAAAAATGGTCAAGTTTCCGAAAAAACGCTTAAACACGTATATTTAATTTTGTTTTTTTACATATTTTAAGATTTTTTAAAAATGTATACAGGGTGTTTCGAAAAATCTGGTCATTGATTAATCACGATCCTGCTTAAAGCGCTTGACGTAAAAAGCTGATTTTTGGAAAGCAGATTGACTTTAGGGTGTAAAGGTTCGCTAAGAAGGGATTTTTCGAAACTCGAATTCTACGGGGGTGAAACTATCCCTCAAATATTAAAATATTTTTTATTAAAAAACCGGTGAGTTTTTCGGAAAAACTCTTAAACACGTATATTTTATTTTGTTGTTTTACATATTTTAAGATTTTTTATAAATTTATACAGGGTGTTTCATAAAATATGACCATTGATTAATCACGATTATGCTTAAACTGCTGGACATTTAAAGCTGATTTTTGACAAACAGATTAACTGTGGGGTGTAGAGGTTCGGTAAGGAGGGGTTTCTCGAATCTCAAATTCCAAGAGGATGAAACGCCCCTCAAGTATTACAATATTTGTTATTTTAAAAACAGTTAGTCTTTCGGGAAAACGCTTGGACCAGCATAATTTATTTGGTTTTTTTACATATTTTGAAATTTTTTAAAAAATCATACAGGGTGTTCCAAAAAGTTGGGTAATTTCTTAACCACGATTCTGCTTAAACTGCTGGACGTAAAAAGCTTATTTTTGGCAAACGGATTTTTCGAAAGTCAAATTTCAACGAGATGAAACTACCCCCCAAATATTACCAAGTTATATAATAATATCGCCATATTGTTTTTTCTCATGCTGCCATAAATGTGAGAAAATTTTATCCAGTTTGTAGTAAGTTAATGGAAATTCTTGCTTTGCTTTATCATCACCATTACAAATTATTAATTCGACGCGAACGAAGTCGCTGGTACACGCTAGTATAAATATATGTCCTAAACATCTTAACTTTTAAGATACAGGATGGCAAAATTTTCTAATTTTTTTTTCAAAGTACCTCTGATGGTATATTTGATACACGTCTTCCATGCATCAAAATAGCTTATTTTGATATACAAAAAAATTGTTTTGTTTCTTAATTTCCTTCCAGCCAATGCAGAAATGATTTCCACACAACAGTCACCACCAGGGGCGGATACAGGAATTTATTTTAGGGGGGGCCCAAAATAAAAAGTAATATAGAATATGCTTTTAGGACGCCATTTTTAACAAAAAAAGCCTAATATTTAACATAATTTACAGATTTTAGGGGGGGCCCGGGCCCCATGACTCCCCCCTCTGTATCCGCCACTGGTCACCACATCATTATTTTCAGCGATTTGACACTGAAATAAACTGACTTTAAATTTTTTAAGCAAAAACTATGCGTCGGACGAGAAGTAAAAAATCGAGAAGTAAAAAATATTTAGATGAATGGAGATTTTGAAAATAATTTTTATTTTGAGAGAAGTCAGTGGTGTACCACTTTTCTCTAAAAATACTCAATATAAAACCCGTATCTACGGCACTGATTGAGATAAATAAAAATTTTTGTACACCAAAAAAGTATTTTGATGCATAAAAGACGTGTATCAAGTTTCATAAAGATATCTGTACCTAATAAAATCAGAGTTATTATGAAAAAAAGTTTTTTTTTTAAATTTACCACCCTGTACCTCAGAAATTAAGATGTTTAGGGCATCCATATGAAGCTTTTCTCTTGGAATAGGTCCAAGAACAACGCCCTTAAATATTAGCATGTCATTTAGGAACACCACCCTGTATATGAAATTTGTTTAGAATAACATACCGAATAATTCTATGGGTGTTTGCTGACAAAATAAATACCGAAAACTGTTCTCTGTTGAACACACAATCTATGATATACACATATGGCCAAAATTATTGCATATAACGATATTTTTATTTTATTTTGGACCTAATATGATTCTTTTTATATTTTTGGACATATTTTTGGACAATTTTATTTCATAATGAGTGAAAATCAACAAAAACAAATTTCATTTTAAACAGAAAATATTGAAAACAATTTTAATTTTTTCTCACAACTAATAGTCTGTATTGCCTCCTCGAGCCTCAATGCAAGCTGTGAGACGACGTGGCATGCTCTCAATTAAGTTTTCCAGAAGATGTTGAAGAATGGCTTCCCAGGTGGGCTTCCCAGGTTTCGCGCACAGCAATTTTGAATTCATTTAAGGTACTGGGGGAATAATTCCATTTGACAACATGGCGTTTTAGCATGTCCCAAACATGCTGGATCACATTCATATCTGGAGACATCGGTGGCTACCACAGTTTTCTTATACCCTCTTCCTCACAAAATTCGCGAACCGCTAAAGTGCGATGGAGAGGATCATTATCATCCATGTAAACAAATTCATCCCCACTGCCCCTCGAAATGAACGCACAATAGACTCTAAAACGTCTCTAAGATATGAGGCACCTGTCATTGTGCCATCAATAAAAACAAGAGGAGTTCGAGCTCCGTGCATTATACCTGCCTATACCATAATGCTTCCCCCTTGACACGGGGTTGAGCTGCGATGCTCAAGCGTGCTCGTCTTCCAGATGCTCTCCAGACCAAAGTTGGTCGCGAGTCTGACACTAGGACTATTCTTGTTTCATCACTAAACATGACGAAATTCCAGTTAGGTACATTTGCTCTGTGTTTGTAGTCGCGCAATTTTGTGCTGTAAATTAAACTTCGGAACACGTAGAGGCCTCCTTAAATTTAATCCTCTGTCATGAAGTCTTCTTGCTATTGTCTTTCTTAAAACATTTACTCCTTCAAGGCGAACTCATTTTTAATAGCAGTACTAGAAAACAGGGGATTACGTCGTACAATTAGGGATATTTGACGGTCTTGTACAGCAGTAGTAACTCTCTTTCTACCTCTTCCAGGCCGGTCTGTAACCTCGTTTGTTTCCCTGATTTTTTTTAATATTCGCGAAACATCGCTTTGGTTAACTCCTACAATTTCAGCTATTGCAACTTGTACTGTTGAGACAGTGTGACTATTCTGACTCTATTAAACTGTGAAATATTGTTTCTATATAGGCATTTTAAGGCAAAAACAATGGTAAAATTTCTTCTGAAACCCAAGACACCATAAATCGAAATGTGCAAGAATCTGTAATAATATTGGGTCTGAACGATAAACATTGTTTACCATATCCATTTTAACAAAAAAATGTTTATTACAGATTATCAAAGCTATGTAGAAAAAAGATTCTTTAAATTCGTTTCCGTATATTTTTAAGCGATATATGCAATAATTTCGGCCATGTGTGTATTTAATTTCATATTTTATTATTAAAAAAGTAATACTGTTAAATACATACAAGCACAGTATCTAAAAAGAATAGCATCCAACTCTTGTTCAACATAATGAGAATTATGAGAATAAAAGGAAACGCTAAAATTACCCCTCTGGGCATTTACACATTATATAATTTATTCAAATATCTTAAAGACCAGGTGTTTCTATTTCCATAAGAAAATAAACGCACCAAGTAATGGGCATCAAATATGTGACTCATCTGAAGGTCGCAAAATGAAATCCTTTCTCGATGTTCATTTGGGTTTAAACTTTAGAGGATATATCAGAAAAATGTTTTATTTGAATTATTAAGGTCCATACCGCGTGGGTTTGTACAAATACATAAATTAAAATAATACTGAAACCTTGATCTGCTTTCAACTTGAAAACCGTGACAAGAACAGCAATTTTAATTAATTCATGAATTATATCGTGCGTTTCGAACCAAAATAAAGTGAAAAATACTACAGTAAAAGATTAGTTATAATGATAACGTTGATCTATTACTTGTAATGATAGAAAAATATACATTGTGTTGTATGTTAAAAAATACGTTTTTAGTCATCTGTAGACAAAATGTCTATAGATATCTCTATGGCGGATTCATCTCGACAAAAAAGTCCTATGGGTGTTTCGCCACTTGTACACTAAAAATTTACAAAATAAAATAGTTATTTTTTGTAACCACTACTGCGTTAATCCAACGGAGACCAACTTGTCAGCAGTGATTTTCTAATAAACAACTTTCACTACCGGAAAAACAATGCAAAACGTTTTTCGAAGTCTCTTCTCGTCTTTGGAAGCACAAAAATTGGCACCGGGAGGCATTTAAGCAAAATGTTCCATTATTTAGTCTATAATGTGATTTTCCCTGCTCTCATTGGTCGAGACTAA